TTTTTTTTTTTTTTTTTTTTGTTGATCCCATTTTTTTTCGCCAGGACTGTCCTCGCCTGGTTCACTTAAGAAGCCGGGGAAGTTTGATTTCAACGCCCTGACTTCCCAGACGAGGTCTCCCCGCATGGCGTTCACACACCACCCGCTGCCTGTGCTGGCAGGAGTGAGACCAGGTGAGAGCCCTGCCATGACCCCAACAACTCAACCTTTCCCCTCCCCCTTTAAATCTGAAAAAGAGAGAGAAGGAAAGGGAGTGTCAAATCCTAGATTGCAGTATTTACTCCCCCCCAAACTCGTCCGGAGACAAAATAAATTCAGCTATCATGTGCCTGAAAATAAAAATCCAAAACGTACTTGCTGAGAAAGCAAACAAAACTTTCCAGTCTTACAGTTGCAACTGCTGAGAAGCAATATGCCTGCAGAGTTTCACCTGTTCAGTGTTACTGCTATCATCACGGCTTGGCATAAATTCCTCTCTCTCTCTTTCAGCCTCTCTCCATCCATCCATTTTTACCACCATCTTTGTGCCTGTGTTTATAATATTACCATCGCATGGTACCAGTGCTGCATCCATGCATTTGTGACTGATTTGCCTCTCATCTTACTGCTTCGTGCATTTTGTCGTAACGATTGTAGAAGCCTTGCATTTAAACTGACAAAGCTGTTCACTCTGAAATAATGACCTTGACTGGATATGTAAACTTACCACCATATGGAGCAATCAATCAAGTGAAAGTGAAAATATATATTTTTGAATTTATTAAAAAAGCCAAAGACAGCAAAGAACCAGTATCTGTAGTGACGCTGCCTTTGCTATAGTGCACATTAGAGCCAGCCAGTGCTTCTTTGTTTGGTTTTCCTTCTTTTTACATTTAGACTTACACTGAGGTTGTATTTTTGTTCTTTAAAAGATATGTTTGTTAGTTCTCAGGCGCAAATGCAGATTAAAGAGATTCATAACAACTTAGAAGCCAGCAAGGGAACTGATAAAGTGTTTGAACCCATGTAGTTGCACAGGTGTACAGTGTAGCGGGTAAAATTCTCAAAGTAACCTCCAGTGTTTCCAAGGTCTTGTTTTAATAAAGGCGCTAAGGGGAAGTTGTCCTCGTAAGAGCTTTTCAGTCCTATAGGGTAACCGACATGGTTTGTTCATCTCGAGTCAGAGAATTCCCGAAGTCTCCAGGATCTCAAGTTTGCCAACAAGTCCCCGCAGACTGGTCTCACTTTTCAAAAGAATAAATATGTCCTCCTCTCCCTGTCGCTCCCTCTCATTCCATTTGTTTCTCAAAGGGATGGATTGGTCCGCTGCCAAACCAGACCTGCCATGTAAAGGTCATTTGGACTCATTGCCCTCCATGTTGAAACGTATTGAATTTTACTTGCGGAGCTCCCCAAAGTATATTTAGATAATATAGTCCTGACTGGATCTGGCAGCATTAAGCCAAGTTGTTTATCTGCTCAGAGCAGTCTCATAGCATCTAAAGAATCCAAAACACCAGATTGAATTTTGAATTGATTTCTAAAATTTCCTCCTGTTTTGCGCACGAGGTGTCAGGGACTAGCTCAGCTTTCTTTGTTTCTCAACTAACTTCATGCACTCTCCAAACTGCGTGTATGTATGTCTGTGTGTGTTTGTGTGTTAGACAGTTGGCGAAAGGTTTTCATGTAATAGAGAGGCTGTAATGAGGCGGCGTAGAGAGATTGTGTCGTGGTGCGTTTGTGCACGTACACACTGATGCACACAAGCGCGTGTGTGTAAATTTACACTCTTGTGGAGGACTCTCTGTGCTAAAATGGCTGCCATCCAAATGGAATGTCCCTCGGAGGCCTTGGTTCTATAAAGAGACTGGAGGATGTCGGGAGGGAGGGAAGGAGAGGGGGATGAAAAGAGAGATGGGGCTAGAAAGGAATAGGGGGGAAAGCAGTTATCAACCATGGTTTGCCTTGGATGGGTTGAAGCTGTTAACTCTTGGTGTATAGGTCTAGCGAGTGTGGCTGCTCAGGGGTACGAGCGAGATGGTTTACGTCCTGTTTTTGGCTCCAGACTCACATGGAGAGCTGCCAGATTAACTGTTGCCTGATTATATTAGTCTGGAGTGTCGGCCATTGTGGCAGTGATTACACACAGACACACAACAATATACTGTATGTAAAAAGACACACGCAAGCTGCGCCAGACACGGCAACCCATTCATATGCATACACTACAAAACTACACATACTGACATGGAAACACACACACACAAAAGAGAACGCACAGGCACGGTGCTGACACAAAAAGGCTTGAACATCAGTTTCACCAAACATGGAAACTTTGAACTTCACTTTGTGAGTACAGTATCCACAAGAGATAGTAGGTGACAGACATAATCACAGATGCTTGTACGCCAGACTCCCCTCACCTAGCAGCTTGCCTCTTTAGTTTGGTGTGCCAAATTGCCAAAGCCATAGAATCACAGCAGACAGGACAGACAGTGGAGCCTAGATTGTGAATGTGTGTGTGTGTGGTTGGCTGGCTGGCTGACTAATGTCTCTGGGAGGTGTTTTGTGGTCGGTTGGGAGCAGAGGGGAGATTCTCTCTCAAGCTTCAAACTACTGGGCAGAACCGCACAGCAAGGATACGCTGCTGATTGATTACACATCACTGACAAGCAATAAAACAAAAGTGGAAAAACCCAGTGTGTGTGTCCGTGTGTGAGTGTGACTCTGTCATACCCGAGCAGTTTGTGTGTGTGTGTGTGTGTGGGTGAGAGAGAGAAATGAAGAGGGAGCAGAAGGCAGAAAATACTGTAACACACTAGCGTTTATGTGGCTGTGAAACTGTGTGTGTGCATGTGTTGTGATGCCAGGCTTACCAGAGGTACAGAGAAATCTAGTGGGCTGATTTATAAAATGAATGGGACCAGATGTTGCTCAACAGCCAGGGATAATGCCAGTCATTTGTAAGCAGAAACAGCTTCAGTCAGTCAACCACAAGAGTGTCACAGCTATTTTCTGCGTTAGGACAATAATGGGGGCCTAAATGACAACTTGGACATTGATGCCAGCTGTCTTAGTGCTTAGTTAAAATATATGCATGTTCATGTTAGCGTAGGTGTCGTAGGTGTGCATGTTCATGTACTCTCTATCATAGTGTGCTGTATACATGTAGAAATACAACAGAATGACCTTAAGCTCACTGCATTTGTTTTCCACTTTCGGTCTCTCTTCTTTTTATGTTTCTCTTCCTCCTCCCCTTTCCTTTCCTCTCTCCTATCTCCTTTTCTTCTCAGGGAGTCCCCGTGCCTCAGCCTCAGCCCTGCACTTCCCTTCCTCCTCTATCATCCAGCAGTCCAGCCCGTACTTCACCCACCCCACCATACGCTACCATCACCACCAGGACCCGCTTAAGGAGTTTGTGCAGTTTGTCTGCACCGACGGCACAGGCCAGCCCAGCGCACAGGTACGTTTTCTATGGATCCTGCAAAAGGAGGAGCAGTGCCTGAAGGATGGTGTGCTACATTAGTTTGGAAAACAAACTACTATGAAATATTATTAAAACTGGTGTATTTATTAATGGAAGTTACTGAAGAGGATGTAGTGCAAACAAGTAAATACACAGAAGGCGCAGTAAGCCAAAACCTGCATACAGACCAATCTTTATGAAGTGAAACGGCTCCACCAGGGATGGTCGCAGGGCAAATCAACAGGAGGAGGGGGCCAGATGTGCTTAATCAGAAAAAACTCAGCTGGAGGAAATTATGGGGGAAGACGCCAGAGCACATTTTCATCACAGGCTCAATATAATATAATGCCATGCCTTCTCCCAGAATTGGAAGATTATGCCTGTCTGAAATGTTCAGATGGGGAGGGGTCTGTCAGGAACAGAAGCCTTTGTAGCGTGGCCGGCCATATTGTAGGTATGCACTGAGTTAAACGTTTACTTTAGAGAAGCAAGGCTGAAAGCTTTGGCGAGACCAGATTTGTAGACAGATCAAGATTAATTTTGTTTGGAGAGTATCCTTGGAAGAAACCAGAAGTAGATATTTAAAGACTACATCTGTGCTCCAGTAGTGATTTATTGACTGTCATCCTTTGTGACATTCCTTTACTCTCCAAAACTCTCTCTAGAGGTAAATGCCCCTTCGCAGTATGCCACGATAATTTTCTTGGCATAATGTGTGCCGTTGAGACCGAGTAATATACACCAACGAGCCACAATATGTAAACCGGTGAAAGGTGAACTGAATATTATTTATTATTGGATTACAATGGACCTGGTATATAAATGTTGGGATATATGTGAGCTTCAGAGCTAGACCATGGAAGAAGGTGGCCAGATGTGTGTCAGTCTCTTGACAATGCACGACAGGAATAAGGCAAGCTGGTGGAGGCAGTGTGGCGGTCTGCTGGGACATCTTGGATCGTGTGGATGACGTCTATGAATATTGTTCAGAAATGGTTTGACAAATATGACAAAGAGTTCAGTGTGCTGACTTCACCTCCAAACTCCTCAGATCTTAATTCAGTCTACGTGGGATGTAAAAACTAGTTTGATCCATGGAGGCTCCACTTTTTAACTTACAGGACTTACAGCTTTCAGCTCCCTTAATACACAGAACAGTTTCTGAGGTCTAGATCTGGATTTGCTATTTTGCTGGCACGAGTGGGACGCAGACGGTACTAGGCCCATGGTTTTAATGTTGTGGCAGATAGTTAATAGATAATAATATAATAGATAATAATAGATAATTGAAAAGTAGTTATCTATTTAGCATTTTTGTATATGAGAGTAAAATGCTAAAAAAAAAAAAAAAAAGTCACACTGCAGAAGGATTTAAAAGATGATTACTGAAACACACCAAGCTGTGGGAGCTAGTGTGCAGCTGTAGATGGAGAAGAAACTCATTGCAGAAGCTGAAGGGGGGATTTTTGGGGACACAGCTGAGCCTTTTTAAAGTGCCGTGGGTCTAATTAGGTGAAACTTTAGTAAAGGGTGATACCCAGATGAGCTCCCCAATAACAATCCCATATTCACTGTGCTGAAAGCTACAGATACAATCAGCAAAACAGAGCATACAGCTGGTCTTTCAGAGGTATTTCTGAACTATTCTGACACATTAAATAAGGTACTACTGTAAACCTCTACTGCAAACTTGGCTTTTTATATTAACTTCCTCAAGCCCTTTTTCATGACCTATTATCCTTTGTTCACGTTACTTCACACTGTAAAGAAACAGTAACATCTTTTTTTATTGCATCTGCACTACATGATGGACAGGCACGCAAGCACCAAGACATCTTGTACACATTGCTGATTTTCTCCTTCTTGCGCCGCAACGACTTCCCTTAACAATCCCTCACTGTCCCTCATGGAAAACTCAGTTTTTCTTCTCCCCCTGTGTGTGACGATGTTCATCACTTTTCCACATCTTATTTTTTTCACTACTTTTGACCAGGCGGCAATATTTTTTTGTTTTGTCTTAAAGCTATGTGAGTCTCCCTCAACCCTGTGTGCAAGTATGGGTGTGTTTTAGTCTGTCTGTTTGGATTCTGTATGGTTTTGTCTGTATATGAGTCTCCAGTATTTAAATGGGGCTCTGTCTGTGTGACTTTGTGTTGTACGTGTGTGTCTGGCTTCCTATATACTGTATATTCTCGGGGTGTGTCCTGCTCACCCTGTCTGTATGGTCCATCTGCAGCCTAATGGAGGTGGCCAGAGCAAAATGCCGGGCTCCTTCCTGCTGCCCCCGCCACCCCCGGTGGCTCGCCCTGTGCCCCTCCCCATGCCCGACTCTAAAACCATCAGCACGCCGACTGACGGCGGACTCAGCTCACCCGCATCTCCGTGTAAGTCACTCCCCACTCCCACTCCTCCCCACAGACCACTATTAATACCCCATATTCCCCACAGCCTTTTTTTAGAAACCAGTCCGAACCAATTTTAGGCCCTCATAGGTTTGTTAGCCCCTACCTGGCAGCAAATTTTATGTATCCCAATACCAAATGAAGTTTTTTAGGCTAGAAAAGACGTAGCCATCATAGAAGTCCCAGTATTCATGTGCAGTGCAAGCTTCTGGTTTAACTCCTGGAAATGCACAGGTTTGGGGCTCCTACAATGGCTACTGGTATAGTTTCCACGTAGTAAGATGGAATCTACTCAAACACTCAGCAGCCCCGAGAGCTTCAGTCCTGTTTCTCCTATCATCTTTTTGACTGCCAATATACTCTGCTGTACAGAACCAGCAAGAACCGATTTTGAGAAGGCAGAAGCCACGCCTTTGCCAAACCAGAGATCCCTTGTCAGGTTCCTTTGTATTGCTTTCTCTGTCTTCCTCTGAAATTCAGTCTCCTTTTCTCTCTTCATGTCTTTGCAAACCACCTTAACCTCCTACTTTTCCCTATCCTGAAGTCTTTTTTTCTCTATTTTTCTTTCTCTGGTGTTGGGTTTCCTGCTAGCACCACAAGAGGCAGTGTAGTTTCTCTCCCTTCTTTTTCATGTGTTTTGTAGTTTGGAAGAGCAGAGCAGAGCAGGGCCCTGTGCACGTTGCCTCTGTAGCTGCAAGCCTTTGATCAATGCAGACTTTGCATGTCTGTCTGTGACAGCAGCAATACAATCTACCCCCTTCTCTCATTTCGTTTTTTGCTTTCTACTTTATTTGATATCACACCCTCCTTTCTTTGTTTCTTTTTCCTTTCTTTCTTTCTTTTTTTCTTTTTAAGGGAACAAAATTAGGGCAGTTGGCGTGGACTCCAAAAAACATCATGCCCCACTTTACCCACCCAATCCCCTTGCCACCTTCACACAAATCTCACAACAATTAAAAATTGAGAACAACAAAAAACATGAAAATCACAGTATAACAAGAACAACAACCCATCTCTCTAAACATGAATGATGAAATCTAATCAAACTTATCTAATTAGTGCTATACCGGGGGAGTGGGAGAAAGGAGTGTCGGCAGAGAGTGGTGAGGCTTTGGTTGGTTCCACCCAGACAGGTGCAGTACGAGAGTCGGGCCATGGGAGAGGCACACCAAGAGGGGGCACTGGATGGAGCAACGGGGGCACCTTCTCCTCTTTTTGTTTGAACTCTTTCTCCTCTTCCTGTCCTATCAAGTCTTTCTCCCCTCCCTCCTTCCAGCTCTCACAGATTAACATGTCACTCTTATTTATTTATATGAAAATCTATATAAATAAATATCGTACTTTCCGTCTCTTTTCTCATCCCAGTGACTGTTATCAGTGTATTTTTTTCTTTCCCCTCTAATTTTGTCTTTAATTCTCAAGATATCTTAATTGCAGCCATGAAACACATACGCACACACACACACACACACGGTACACTCTCACCCTCAGTCATGCATCAGTTTCCAGCCCTGTCGCTGTCACCCCTACACATTCCCATCCCCTCAACTCACTCAAGCCATGCACAGTAAAGATTTTACTCAGCCTTCATGTTGGAGTCCAGTGAGCACAACTGCCCTAAATTTGATCCTGTGGCATTCTTTAGTGGTGTCACTGTGTAGGCAAGATGCTCCTGTGAACCTGTTAAATGCAAAAGGAGCAGTGATGATGAGTTCAGTTCCTCCATAGACCAATTTTTTATCAAGTCTACAGTGAATCATTGGTGGTTCTCTGTGATCACTGTGGCTTGTTATTGAGGCCAGGGGCTGCTGAGGAGCGTCTGTGGCTAACAGAAGGCTTCTCCATGTTAGCACTAATCATTACATTATGCCCCCTTCTTAACCACAGATTAAATGGTTAGGTTGAATAACAGTGAACCTGTCCACAGCATGAACAAATCACCCATGTGACTAATACAGAATCAGTATCCCTGACCCTTTCCCACCAGTTTATTTGACAGATATACTGCAAGAGCCTAAGCAGGTTTATAGTAGTGTAGATTAAATATATAGAAATTTGAGTGTGTATGTGTGTGTGTAAAAGCATGTACACACTTGTATCTCTCTGTTTATAGCATACTCCACGCCAGGCTCCACAGCTCCCAACCGGTTTGTCGGCATCGGAACACGGGACAACTTTCTGAATATCCCCCAGCAGACCCAGGTACCCCGCCAACCTCCCTCATTTAATTAACATCCACATATCCACCTCTCCCTCCTCCTCCTCCCCCTCTGTTTTATGTCTTTTTCTTCCTTTTCCCTCACCACCCGCTGCAAGCCTAACGCTGCACAGTCCTGTGCACACATACAACTTTCCATGGTTTAAATGGACAAGCATGACATTCAGGGTGAAGGCCGTGATACAGAGGCAATACTCAGACAATGGCTGTGCACCGAAAACGTGCTACGATCAGTTATTCAGCACACGACCCCAGCAGCATAAATGATATAAATATTGCGGAAAGCCAATCATACCTTTTTCCTCACACCGTCTCTACTCAGGGTCAGTAGTCTAGCGTGAGTATCGTACCGTTTTTATCGGGTTGTTCAGCTGTCACGGACATGGATTCAAGCTTAGTTTATAAACGTTTTATAAGCTTTCAACGTTTAACAGATATTGTCCATCAACTGTTTGCCCATTTGCTCAGCTACATTTTAATAAAGTGTTGCCCATGTATCAAGGCCTTTAGTTTCAGTATTGGTTTACAGTGCTGATACCACAGTAGCTTCCCCACAGTGACTGTAAGCAGTGCCAGTTAGTTTCAGCTCCAGCAGTGTTGATTTATCTCTGCAAGGCCCCACAGTGTGCATTAGTGCAGCGTGTGAGGCCAGTAGTGCACTACATTGTGGTTTTTTAGCTTTGGCTGTGCTCTGCCACTGGGCTGTAGTGTCTTGGGCCTACTCCATCACCAACACAACTTTTCTCATTAGGGGCTAACCGCACCTGCCTGCAGCCAACTCGGCTGTCCTGTCCTCCCCACACATGGAAACAATCTGCATTCCTCCTCGGCACAGCTCTGCTTAACCCCCTCCTTCACTCCCCTGTGCATCAGCAGCCCACCCTCTCTCTCTTTCTCTCCCTCTCGCTCCTCCTGCTGCTCCCTTTACTAGTTTCAAGCTCCCCACCTGCACCACTCTCCTACAGATGTAGCTCTGGCACCGAGGGGAGATTCAAACACCATCCAAATGTGTGTTAGCGCATATGCACATACACTTCAACTCTGTGCCAAATCTCTTGCCCCTCATTTTCCCTCCTAAAAACAACAGGGCTTTTACAACAGCTTACATCTGTTCAAAATGCTTATTATCTCCAGCAATTGCTTATCAAACATTATTGAAAAATGTCCACTTTGAACATTTCTGCCGGGTTTACAGCAAGCACAGCGAGAACCTGGGCAAATGCTCCCAGTTACTGAGCCTAGTAGGTCAGCAACAGTGTCAGCCAGAGTGAGTAACAGAGGTCTCTGCCTATCCTGCTGTTCTCTGGCATATGGCGAGGTTCAGACGATAGTCCTGCCAGCCCGCCTTGGTGCCTGCTAGCCAACTAGCCAAGACAGAAGGAGAGAGTGTCTTCCCACTGCCGTCAGAGCAATAAGTAGAGAAAAGCTGGTCTGAGGAGCTCTCTGGTGGTGAAACCTTAGCTATGCAGGAGGAAGAGAGAGTTGGGCGGTGGGGGGGCGACAAGCATGGAAAAGTAAGAGGGACTGAGAGAATGGGAGGGAAAAAAGAGAGAGGGGGTTAGTTGAAGCTCGCTGCACTCCACAGTCACGTCCTGGCTGTCTGGTTGCCCGCAGCAACGAGACATGATGTCATAGGCAGTTGAACTTGGACTTGAAGAGGGGGGGGCGTGAGGGTGGGAGTGGGGGGGTCACTTTCCACTGCCAAGGATTACACTGAGAGAGCCAGAGTAAGTGAGAGAGGGGAAAAAAGAAGGGGGTTAGAGGAAGTTGGAGCCAGGAGGAGGAATTATCTTCAAACACCAAAGTAAGGTAGAGTGGTGGAGAATAGATGGAGGTTTAAGGGTTTTGAAACTTTCTCTGGGTTTTCTGATTTTTTTTTTTGTGGGGTGGGGGGACAGAGTTTGCTGTCGAAGGTGCCGTGAGTCTCTGCTCTCACCGGGCCGAGGCATGTCAGAGGCAGCCAGAACAGCTCGGTCTGTGCCAAAGCCTTCGCTCTGCCGTCTTTATCAAACTCAGAAACTGGATCCCCAGAGTAGCTGCCCTCCGTAGTTTTACAGTGTAGCCTGAGCCGACTCTGGCCCACAGAGCAGAGGCATATCAGGACGATCACCTTACATGTAAACTGGTTGCCCATGACAGAACAGCAATAGTCCCGTGTTTGCTTACTGAAAAGTCTTTAGGACTGACACAAAAGATGCTGCCCTAGTTGAACTTGTAACTCTGTAATAACACAACTGTTTTTAATGAGTAAAAAAGCTTGAGTCAGCCCTCTTAAAAGCAGCAAGTGGTAAGGTAGTAACTTTTGTGACACCGTATGTTACTGAGTTCAGTTAAGTACTGTAAGTGAAGGAGAAAAGGGGTAATAGGTGGCCCCCTAGTGGATAAATACCTGGTGTTCCCGTTCAGCATCAGGCCTTCAAACCAAATCAGTATATTTTATACCTCCTGGTTGTAAACTGTTCAGTCAGAGAGAATTTAATTATTTGAAAATGATAAAAGAGGAGAAATTATAAATAGTTTAGAAAAAATATTATTAAGAAAAGACTACTAAAAAAATATTCACAATTTGACGTTTCACAAATATGTTTTTGTTATATTTTTCCTGTCAGTTTGATTTTGTGATATGTTGTTGGAGTCCTGAACACAAGGTTGGGAATCAATGATATAATAATAACTGGCACCAGTAGCACTGAGGTTTTGTTGCACATGTCCTCAACATAAACCGTTGATTGATACAAGGATTAAAACTTGTGTGTAGAATGCTGTTCTGTCATCATAGTCCATAACGCTTTATGCTCTTTCATGTCTCTGTGCATGTGCTTGGTAGGTATTCTTCTGTGTTCCTCACTGCACACTGCACACACAAAAATTTTTTTTTAAATGTGGCTTAATCAAAATGTAATTGTGGTGATGGGAGTTGAAAAACTAAACACATTTATGTTCTTTTTTTTTTTATCTTTACAGTCCTGGTTCCTCTGACAAGGCCTCTCTGAATCAACAGCTAAAATTGTGTCATGAAAATTGGAAATTTGACAAAACAAACACATCGCCGCTGAAAAAGAACAAACTGCTGACACTAAAAGGTCTTTCTCTCTCGCCAACACTATTCAAAGTACTACTACAGAACCCCGAAAAACCCCACGCTGCCCCAAGAGGACTCCCAATTCAACACGATTTGAACAGGAACATTCGTCCCCTTTTGCGCAGGAGTCTTCAACAAGATTGAGTGGACAGACTCAGAATGCAAGGAGGAGGAAGAAGAAGATGAGAAACTGTCTCACACACCGTGAATTGTCAGAAAGGAAACACAATATGGCAAACTGACAAATGACCAATTATACATTTGTTTCTTTTTTTTCTTTTTTTTTTTTAATGTTTTTTTCCATTTTGTTGTCTCCACAATGAAACTCCATGCATTGGCTGGGAGATCCAAAAAAGAACAAGTAGTGGTAAATGGTGAAGTCAGATGTGCAACTTGTAAAGATTGCCACCCAAATAGCACGCCTCCATATCTGCATATCTCTCCTCCAGGTACATGGTCCCACCTTGCAGCCTCGTAGTTGAGTGTCCCCTCACCCCACTGTTTCATCTGCTCAGCCCTGAGCCTCTTTCACTTCGGATTGGCCAATCATGCTGACACCATCCAGTCCAATGGTGTGACACATATGCACTAAGTGGCTGGTCTTTGTTTACCTGTCAATGTACCAGGGTGTCCTGCTATGGGAGAAACGACGGCCATGAGGCACGAAGGCAAGAAGGTGAACACACAGATAGTCATAACACTAACTCTACACGTGCTCTCTCGTCCCCTTACCTATGCACTATTAATTTTTTTTAAGGGATGAACAGTATTGCACACTGATGGTCAGATGAGCGATTAGAGAAGTGAATCGAGGCTGCAGGTATGGGGGCTGTGCTAGCATCAGGCCCTGAAAGATACAGCACTCACATGCACACACACATGCAAGCTTGCAGGCAGCACATGCAGACCAACCTTTCCAGTAAAGTCGGTCACAAAACCACTCACAAAATCATCTTGTTTTAATCCATAGATATTGCTTTTACAATAAGGCGCACACAGCATTGGCTTCATATTATTTGCTTTAATTTTGTTTGTAGTTGTTTACTTGCGATTTTTTTTCTTTTTCCAGATTTGGTTTTGGTTTTGTCTCAGCTGGATTGTTTTAACCTTCTCTTGCATGTCATAACATTTTTTCTTTAGTTTGCAGTAACACATAGTATCACGCTCGAATTTCAGCAAAATGGAAACAGCAGTTTCTCAAATTTCTCATGTATGGACAGCACAGTAACGACAGCTCATCACACGCAACCCTGGCATTGCTTCACCCCGTGTCCCGTAGTCTATTCACAAGAAAACCCAGAGGATACACACACACAGATGCACATATAAAATAACACCACCAACAACCTGGTTTAAATTTATAAAGGGAAGCCTTTATACTGGTTCTCCAAACTGCCTTTTAATGGTTTTTCATTCATTTTAAAATTTGTATTTTTAATTTGACATATTTTTCTATGTAAATGTTCACACTGAAATCGCTGTTGGTATTATTTTTTGTCATGACACAATCCAACAAAAGCCGACCTCACAAAATAACTGGACTGCCTAGCTGTTGGTTCTGTTTTTGCAGGGATAGTAAACAGGGCTGAGGGCTCGTTCTCAGCCTCTCTAGTAACATTAGCTCTATGTACTAAAACCATATATCGAGACTATAACAATATATGGAAGTGCCTCTGTATTCCCTTCATGCAATTAGTAATAAACTTGACTTCAGGTTCTCTTCCCACATATAAGCTAAAGCTACATGGGCATGGTAGCGTTGGTGCATGTGGAAACCATTGGCCTAGGACGGATCTTTATAGAGGACTGCAAACTCTTTTTTTTCTTTTTTTTTTGTAAAAACAGAGAGAGAGATCTTATACATATATATTTATGATATATGCTCCTTTGTAACTTTTACTACGAGCTTGTTGGCAGTCTAGTTATTTTCTGAACACTCACCCCTCACTACCCCCCTCCCCCACCCCGCCCCACGACCTGTTTCAGTAACATCACCATATTGTTACCAATACGAATTAAACGACACACGCCATTGCCATCTGCTGCGCAGCATTATAATACCTAGATGAACATGTCAAAAATCGACAGTAGGTTTGAAGAAAAAAAAAGTGTTTGTTTTTTGATGGAAAGTATTATTATTGAAAAATATGTGTCGATTGAGCCACGTGCAATGCATTGGGTAGATCATTGTGTTTGTCTGTTAGAGATTTTTAAGAAAGCTAAGAGAAAAGAGAAAAAAAAATGTATTTGTTTCAAGTCCATATGCTCCGGGACTCTAAACTAGAGGGCCACGAGAAATCCTAGTCTTTGTAAGTTGGGGGTATTTGTTTTTATTTCCTTTGTCTCTTTTTTAATGTTATATGTGTAATCATTTGTTTATAAAAATGTGGGAGGGCTGAAGGAAAAAAAAATGTACACAACTTCAGAAAAAAAAATCTTTATCATCAGATGAAAAACTGGTGCTTTAACACTATAAAGTACATTCAGAACTATTATAAATGAGTGAACAAAAATAACAGACCATTTAGGAAACTGCATTATTCCTCTCTCTATTTGTATTCTTCTATTTGTATTAAGTGGGGGGAGAGGTTCCTATTCCTTAAGGTTGTGACACAAAAGGCATTTTGGTTCAACCCTTAGAAGAAATAAAGCAAACCTATACTGTCGAGCCCAAGAAACTCTTTAAATAACCTACCCGCGCACTGCCTGAAACTCACCAGCAAAACAAAACAAACAAAAAACCCTCCCAGTTAATTCATTTTATCACATACATTGGCATTGACACATGACAAGTCTCTCCCAGTACTGCGGAGATACTTCACATCCCAAAATCAGTTTTTTCCCATTATCATCCGAGTATGTTTCTAAATCTGGAGTTGGATGGAGCTCAGCAGGCTGTGTTGAGACACCTGACGTTGAGGTGGACTGAGACCTTCTGTACAGTTAGCAGAAAAGGGGTAAAAGAAGCTTTTAATCTGGCATACATATGAGGTCTGAGCCATTTGTGAAACAGGCAGCAAGGTGAGCCTCTCCCCTGTTCCACCCCCTCCTCTGTAAATGACTCTTATAGTGCTTGTGCTGTAGTGTATAGTTTCCCAGCAGTTAAAGGTTGTCCCTTGAAAGTGCCTTTTGTTCACAGACTCCATTTTGTAATCAAGATGGCCCTTTTTTTCTTTTCATTTGTTTTTTTCCTTGAAACAGCTTGAGGTAGCAGGTTGCCCCTGAGTGCTGTAAGGAGGCAAAAGGTCATCACCCATTCAGCGATCAGGGGCACCTCTTTCCTCCGGCTTCGAAAATGAATTCCCTCCATTGTTCCTTCCCTTCTATCCTCTCTTCCTTTTCAAAGCTATATATATATATATATACATATATATAGTACGAAAGGAAACTGGTGTGAATTAGTTCTTTACTTTTTATTGATAAATGAGAAAAAAAATTGAAAAGGCAAAAAAACTTGTTCTCGTTCAGCTCTTGCTTTTTTCTTCCCCTCTGTCTCCACTGTCTGTTTTCTCTTAGACACTGGAGTAGTCTGTAACTGTGTGTCTGTCACTCTCGTCTCTCTCTCTCTCTCTCTCTTTCTCTCTCTCTCTCTCTCTCCTGCCCTCTCTGCTGTTGGGAGGATGAAAAAAAAATATTGCCGAAAAACTTTTGTCTGAGCAGAATGCAGTTAGCTCACATGTTATTCTTGTCTGTATGCTTCACATTGTATTACCATACCCATCTTCTTCAGCTTCTCCATTCAGCAGCTAATGTAAGTGAACAAATTACGCTGACGGGCTTTTGGGGGTGTCCCTGGGTGGGTGAGGAAGGGACGACAGTGGTTCAGGGGTTTGGGTTCAAGAGGTTTAAGGGGAAGATTAATGGGGTTGAGAGGGATAGATGAACTGCTTTGGGAAGTTGGAAAGGGGCTGCATGGGCTAGGATAAGAGTTTGCTCTTTTTGTTTAAGGTATTTATTTTTTGGCTTTGTTTTATTCCCTCTTTTTTGTTTCCTTTTTTAATTTGGAGTTCTTTTCATATTTGCTATCAGGGTATGCTGTCGTTTAGGCTCTCTTTGAGTATGCCTTGGACTGTAAAATGAAAGCTACAAGCACCTTATAACCGGACTTGTCGTGCATGAGGCTGAAAGAGGGGCGATGCTTTACCAGCATAAATCCCACATCCATTTTAACCAATCTTATAAAGTGAATCTCTTTTTTTTTTCTTTATTGCTATTTTTACAGTGGGTTTCACACATGGAAACCCTCAGCAGTATTAGCCATTCACCACACATCAACCAGATAGAAAAAGGCCAGCATGAACCTGATCTCTCAGATTTTTGAGGACCCAGGGAGTCCCTCCATTTTTCTCCTCCGACCACCTCATGCAGGATTAATCCGTGTTTTTGTTCTGTTGTTTATTTTAGTTCTTTTTCTTCTTAAGTGTGTATGGTTTAATGGTGAATTAGGCAGCACCCTAGGCCCCCTCACTCCCAAGTCTTCTATGCCTCTGTCTATGCCCTCAGTGCAGCACCACTTCTTTGTGAGAACACCCCCAGAGCTCTAGGTGAAATGCATGTGTTAATTACAGTTTCTTTTCCATAAGAAGAAAAACACAGTTTGAGAAGAGCAGCACCTGATTGAATAAAAAGGATGTTCTTGACTGTACCATCTTGCTGTGCCATGTCATTCTTTCAGTATGTAGGATAATGCATAAAAGAAATGCCTCAGGAACAGCTGTTAATATACTTCAGTCCTTAGTGTTTCTAAACTGGACTTGCATACATTAAAAAATAACTTGTCTCTTTGCAGGGTGTTTGGAATTTGAAAGCATTCAGGCTACATGCCCCACCTCTTTGTTCCAGATTCGAATGTGGAATGTCAGTAGTGCCCAGAGGGCAAACTGCTGAATTTGGTTATTTAATCACTTTTCATGTCGTGTTATGAAATTAGTTGGTCAAAATAATTGCAAACTAAATACTTTATAACAAAGTTAGAAATTTATTTATGTCATTTTTATCTCCAGTTTCTAGTATGTTGTCAGCGCTGTTCCTTTTTCTTAAAACACCATCAAGCTGATTTCTTGAAACTTTGGTATAGAGGTGCAAAATGTGCAAAGAAAGAATATTGGTATTGCTGATATGGATCATCTTTAAAGCTTTAACTGCACTGGTCCCCGTCTAAAATGAGATGGGAAACTTATTAAACGTTATACTTGTTAAAAACCAGATTGATAGCATTGTGACCTGAGCATTCGCATTTCACTCAATGTGATCACGGACCGGCCTTTAAGGTGTCGGGATAAATACAACAAAATAAAATGATACGACCAAGAAAAAAAACAGTGGTATTTTGTAAATATGATAATAAACACAAATTCACTGTGTAATTTTGTAACTTTATTAGCAGCGCCAACAACACTGTGAGTAACGTCCTCCTCTCTGGCCCTTAATGCTCTCTGGTCGCTATGGTAATGCGTAAATATTTCTTTGAAAATAAGACGCACAACTACAACACAGGAAAAGACCCAGGGAAACCGAGTTAACGATGAAAACTCTGAAAACCATACATTTAACACCCGAGCTTCAACTCTCCTGGCCCAGTACCAAACCTGGGGGTTGGGGACCGCTGCATTATGGAACTCACCAAACACTGTCAAGCCTTCCTTCAAAAACAGTAATGCAAGTGTTCAAAACAAGAAAAAGTTTAATAAAAATAAAAAATGTGCAAGTGACAAAAAAAGGACAAAATTTGGTTCAACAGTGTTTAAATATTTGGGTTTTTTTTAAAGATACATTTACAGGTTTCAAGCACTGCAGCTGCAAGTTTGACTTAAGTATTCTGAGCTACTAGCTCATACTCCAGGAAAGGATTCCTGTCCAGCACATTAGCACACGAACATAACGTTAAATACACTGATACAAACAGATAAAAAGAAATGACAATAATTTATTTGGAAGACCAAAATTTGTTTTTAAATACTATTTTTGAGCAAAACGTTGTTGGTTAATACTCTGCACGGTAATGACTTTTTACAAATGAGTGTTCACACTAAGTTTGTGCAGTATGGTCCTGTGTTTCAGCGTAAGTCAAATTAAAGTAAACATCACTGAGGTATATTCAACAACCACATTAAAAATTTCTGACAAAGTGCATGTGCTGGTGAGCTTTTTTCTTTTCCCCACATGGCAATAGTGCACTTCTTACCAGTTACAGTGCCAAAGAGCACGAGGCATCAGATGACTGCTTGATCACTTTAAAGATTTAAGATCATAAATAAATTAAAATGACTTTAGAATTATGAATCATAAACTCCTATGATTTGGCATCGATGTGATCAAGTTTCAAAATATTTTCCTTACTTCAACCAATAATATATCCCTGCCTGTGAAAGGTAAACTGGGGAAAAAGTTAGACATTTTCTTTCCTCATATTCAATAAATAAAAAATAATGGAAAAAATACTTATGGCCGCTAATGCTGCCCTCAGCCTCCTAGTAGATGCACCTATAGTATAGATTTGAAAATCATTACTTTCTTCTTTGGTTATTGTATTCACCAGATTTTCAGAAAACTTGACCTCTGACCTTGAGGTCAAGGTCACCGAGGTACTTTAATGATTTTAATGTACTTTGGCTTGTTCAGGAGTGGCTAAGGTAGGTAAGTGGATTGTCTCTAATAGCTAGTAATTCAACTATGTGCAAATTCCATAAGCAAGGCATGAACTTCATGACGTACACGTTTTTATGACTGAATGAGAAACACATAGCAAAGCGCTTCGTAGAGCCTAGCTAAAATTAAAAAGACAAAGTAGAAGTTCACTGCAATATAATGACATTCAAATGATCCCAACTGCTTGAAATTTCAAGTATCAGCAAGTAACTGAAGCTCCTCAGGGCATGCGCTCCTCTCCATTCTCACCTGCCTGAGCGTCAGCTTCATCGGGCACCCTGGATCCAGAACT